AAGAATAATAATACAGTTAATTAAAAGAAATATGTCGGTATTGACAAACCTAGTAGTTTGACAAATATGAAGTTGTTAAAAAAAAGGACATACAACTGTTTTGTTTGTAGCATTACTATTTCATCTTTCAGGATATCTGCATCCTTAGAGTCCAGCTTCTGAAATCAAGTAGAGTTGAAACCATTCAAATTAAGTCCAAGAATTTGCAGTCCAGCATCATAAAGAACCCATGAAAAAGAGTAAAGGTCGAAGTATAGAAGTTTTATTGAAATAAGAAAACCATCAGTCATGTTTTGTGTATATCTAAGGCCTTTTCATTGATTCCTTGCCTCGACAATTCAATCTAACTTTTCTTCTTGAATAAAAAAAAAAAAAAAATGAAGAGGCCAACTTCTTAGTGATTCCTTAGCCTTCTGATCAACAAAATTCTTGGAAGAAATGGTCTGAGATGATGAAATTGAAGATGCAAATGCCTGTGCTTCAACCTTTACTCTTGGTAATTTTTATGTTGCTATGAGATTTTTTCCCCCTTCTGCATTAAAAAGTTAATTGCTTACAAACCTTCTGATATTTGCTTCATCATTTTAAATTCGATGAACTCAAAGCAGCGTATGGTAGGAGAACTTAAAAAGGACAAGGGAATGTATTAAAAAAGAACGTAGAAGAAACAACAAAGAAATGATGAGAATCACCATTCTGCAATTTTATATGCCAAAAAGATCAGATTTTACAGTTATAAGTACAAATTTCAGATTACCTCTGCCTTGTATCCTACGGTAGGAGTCTCTAAAGCACCCTGACATTTGTTGTACCTATGAAGTGTTTTCTTCATTCTGCACAAGTGAGCAAATTATCACTGTTAAGTCAACATCTTCAGCTTGAAAGAGATAGGAACATATTCCTTTGAACCATCAAAGCGAAATGCATTAGAATTCTAGTGAATTACCTGGAAAGTAAAAATCAACTCACAAAGAAAGCAGAATATATAATCATCAGGTAAAAAGTTGAATTCTTTAGATAAGTCTACTTGTGTTTTTCTCAAAAATAAAAGTGATGGTGAAGTTTATGGAATCCAAGCAGAATGTACAGGCTCAAGGAAACAAAAATCCCCCCTTTTATTTTGTGGTAATTGGTAAAGCAGAAGACAAGAAAGAAAGACCCATTTACCAAAGAATAAAATTCCATAAAACCTCTGGGAAATCCACAGAATTTCAGCAAAGTTCATCAATAAATTTCAGAGAAAAAGGGTCAAATAAAAAAAAAGAAGAAGTCCCAAATAACAGACACTACACCCACTGACCTCTCTAAATTCCTTCTAAAAAACAACATATTAATCAAATAAAAGAAAAAAGAAAGAAAGAAGAAGAAGACATCATAGGCAACAAAAAAACCCAGTAAATTCCAAGAAAAACAAATACTCAATTCTAAATATATAATCAGAAAAGAAAAAGCACATGCTTGATAAAAATGAAATTCTAAAAATTTTAAAAATTTTGAAGAAAGAACAATAATTTACTTACCCAGAACTAGAAAACTCAATGAGCTTGCCGGCGTTGGAGAAGATGACAAGAGCAAGCTCAGCATCGCAGAGAATGGAAAGTTCATTAGCCTTCTTAAGCAACCCAGAACGCCTCTTGGAGAATGTGACTTGCCTGCTGTTTGCATTCTCTA